AAGAAAGAAATGTGAACTTTGAACTGACAGAAGAAGGGTTTGGTGTACAAAAACACCTCCACTGCCCTCTTGTGGTTCTCAAAATAAATCAAAGTTCGAGCTGGGGGAAAAAATCTGAACTCCTTTTGTATTTTGAAATCATTTAGAGTTTAAGGGTCATGACACACCAAACTCAAAACAAAGAACTTGTGGCAGTGAAATCCTACTATGTTGCCTGAGGGCTGTGACACACTAAGTCGACTGTCGGGTGTTGGCCAATGTTGGGCTGTTTTTGAGTGTCTTTTGGGAGAGTTTTTGCAGTGTGTTACACACATCAAATCTAGTTGGGATAACATCTTTGAGAGTTCATTTAATTCAGTATGTTAAATCAGCAATAGGGCTGATTTAGTGATACAGGTAGCTCTCATTGAATGACCATAAGCATGAAAGTTCACCCACAGTCGACAGAAGGCTGTTCCAATATTACACCTTAACTGTGCATTTAAATACACAAAAATGTTCATCATATGGAAGTAATTATGTAAATTAAAAGTAAGTAAATTATAGTAGTATATATACTATATATATAAATACAGTTGAAGTCAGAATTATAAACCTCCCTCAATTATTAGCCACCCTGTTTATTCTTTCCCCCAATTTCTGTTTAACGGAGAGAAGATTTTTTTTCAACACACTTCTAAACATAATACTTTTAATAACTCAGTTATTTTTAATAGCTACAGTTAATTAAAAGCTTGTCCAAAGTGATGCCTTCAAATAGTTTTTTAAAATATTCAACAGAGCCCAGACTTCTCAGTGCTAAAGCGAGAGAGAGTTTTGGAGCCACAACACAGAAGGCACGGCTACCTTTTATTTTAAGACATGCTCTGGAAAAAGACAAGATGTCTTGGCCAGAAGACCTTAGAGACTGCAGAGCTGTATATGTAATAAGCAGAATCTTAAAAATGAACTCTTAAAACTAATAAAAATCCAACGAAGAGTCTTAAGCACAGGAGTAATGTGCGACCACCTACAGGTGTTGGTTAAAAGCCATGCAGCTGCATTCTGCACAACTTGTAATCGCTCCATAGGTGATTTGTTCAGACAAGTGTGCAGAACATTACAATAATCCCACTGTGAGGAGATAAAGGCATGATCAAGCATCTCCATCTCTTCTTTCGAAATCTTATTTCAAATTTTTGCCATGTTTCTAAGATGTAAAAAACATGTGTGAACAGACTTAACAGAGCTCTGTGACACCCAGATTTCTAATGTCACTGCAATTAGAGGATAACACACCTACAAAAACTTGCCTAATCTTTGGGGTGACACTATCGGGAAAAAAATCAATACCTCAGTTTTTTTAGGACTTTTCAGTCTATTTATTTAAAAAGAGCTAATTCAGAGTTTTTCAACTAGTTCGGCTAGTTTTTGTTCAATCTTTGTTCAATCTAGTCTTATGTTCAATCCACTTAAATGTTAAACTTGATTTGTTTTAGTGAACAGGAAGGAATTGTGTGGAGCCCTGTATTTTTATAGTTTGCAAAAACGCAGGGTTCCACACAATTCATTCATGTTCGCCAACACAAATCTATTTAGTTATTTTTTAATTTTTAAGTTAAGAAATTTAAATGAATTGAACATAAAACAATGAAGTTGTCTAAAAAAAAATCAAGTATTGTGTTGTTTCAGCTTAGTTTTTGAGAGTAGCAATGATAAGACATAAAATAACATAAGAGGAAACGCACAAATTAAACAGAAGAGGGCCTAACACAGAATATGGAGACACACCACAGAACAGAGGAACAGAGTCTGACATATGAGTTCCTATGGGCACAGAAAATCTCAGGAGGACAACCAATCCAGAGCTGTCCCAGTAATGCCCTTAAAAGAATGCAGTCTCTTAATCAAAGTGCAGTGATCAACAGTATCAAAGCTGCACTAAGCTCCAACAAAACAGGCACAGAACAGTCATCTACATCGGCAGCAATTAAAATATCATTTGAGACCCTGAGGAGGGCAGCTTCTCTTGAATAGTGTATATCAAAAATAATATTAATAAATTTATCAAGGATAATATGAGCCGGTGACATGGTGGCGCAGTAGGTAGTGCTGTCGCCTCACAACAAGAAGGTCACTGGTTCAAGTCCTGGCTAAGCCAATTGACATTTATATGTGGAGTTAGCATGTTCTTCTCATGTTCCCATGTTTCCCCAAATGTCAAAAAAACATGCTCTATAGGTGAATTGGATGAACTCAATTGGCTGTAGTGTATGAGTATGAGTGTGTGTGGATGGTTCACAGTGATGGGTTGCAGCTGCAAGGGCATACGCCGTATAAAACGTATGCTGGATAAGTTGGTGGTTCATTCCGCTATGGCGACTCCAGATGAATAAAGCGACCAAGCCGAAGCAAAATGACTGAATCCAAAACAGCATTAACAGATTTAAGAAAGTGGTCAACATAATTAGTCTTCAAATAAGCAAATACAGCTTGGTTTACAGTTTTCTGTACATCTGAAGAGTTCTGATACAAAACCTCTAAGATGAGTGTCATCTTAAACTTTCTTCTAAAATGTATTTCCAAATATTGCCATTTAAATTTCTCTCCAATTAAAGAAATCTCTTACACAGATTTCAATATGATCAATTGACTGAAAAAAAACTCTGTGAGTTTTCAGTATTGCAGATGGACCATGAGGTTGGTGGGTTGGTAACTTCACTATTGTGACATATTTCTAACTCAAACAATACTGAATAGAGGGCTGGGTTTTGTTTTAGCACTGTTCCAGTCCAACTCTTTCTCACAGGAAACTAATGGTTGAGAAGAGTTGTTGAAGGGACAGTTCGTCCAAAAAATGACTCACTATTTACTCACCCTCATGTGGTTCCAAATTTTATGAGTTTCTTTCTTCTTCTTAATGGGCACCTATGATGAAAATCATCTTTTGTAAGCTGTTTGGACAGTGCTGTGTGTAGGTATAGTGTCATATTAGCCTGATATGACCTGATATGAAGACAATAAGTCTCTGTTTTTTTTTTAAATTTCCTGACATTAAAATAGGATCCAAATCCCTCACATTTTGAGGTCCACCGCAACATGACGTTAGAGTGCGGCCCAAACCCCCCCTTCTACCCCCACCAAATGGATTGACAGCCACATATTACATGTCTCCATAGTAACGGGTATACTCATATCAATAAGACAGAACGTGCGCAAAACAACTGGGATTAAAAGATCTGTTCAGCTCTCTGTGATCATCAAATTTGATCAAGAATGAGTTTTACAAGTTTAAAACTTTTTAAAACAGTGCATGTTTGTAAGAAATTACAGCAATTTTACCGTCTTTACTACACTTTCACCACAGCCACATGTCAGTACAATTATGAAAGAAAATGCTTCAATCCCAGTTTGTGGACGTTAAATCAGGTTTAACACAACAGATATCCATACAGCTGTAGATATTAATGTGTATCCTGTCACATTTGAAGTGTAAAGTTAAACGCATGAGCTGTGTGTCCTCGCTGTGTGTGTGTCTGTGTGAACTTTGTAACGACATTGTGTGTGACTCATTGTTCTCATTTACTCATTAACTCCACTTCCAAGACATCAAATAATCATTGGGAAAGTTCTTGCTGTAGTATTTCTCACAGACGTTATGTGAGATCTGCTTCCTTCATGTATGTCACTATGCTGTTTATCTGACGCAGCCAAGGTGGAGATTGAGGCAAACTTTGATAGGCACATGGGAATGGTGGGCGTGCAGAACTAGCCAAGGCACAGGCCACAAAAACAGCTACATTGTGTTTAGAGCAAAAAATCCAATATTCTGAAAGCTATAATAAATAATCTTATGAGTGTTTTGAGCTGAAACTTTTCAGACACATTCTGGAGACAAATAAGACTTATTTTAAATCAAAAGGGGTAAAATAGGTGCCTTTAAAACAAAAGAAGACATTTTGAAGAAAGATGTAACCGCTGAATTCCAAAGGAAAAAGTCATATGCAAGTCAATGCTTACAGGTTTCAAGCTTTATTCAAAATATCCTCTTTTGTATTCAACAGAAGAAAGAAAGTCCAACAAGTCTAGAACAAGTAAAAGATGACAGAATTGTTAGTTTTGGGAGAACTATCCCTTAAAAGACATTCTGCATATTCATTAAATAGCAAAGGCAGATTTTCAGTAGGCAAATGATTTTTTTCTGTATATTAACAGATATTAATATATATATATATATATATATATATATATATATATATATATATATATATATATATATATATATTAATAATACTAATATTAACAGATTAGTTGTTCACCACAAGAAAAGAATCATAAGCTACCAAAGTAAATTCTGCTTTCATAAGGATCCCACCAGAACTAGAAAACTGCACTTTAGGGAATCTAATGGACTGTGTATACCTCTAACAGAGGCATGCTTCATTAGATTATTCAGAGACAGGCTTGCTTCATTGCCTGCATAAGTAAATGGTTTGTAGTATACACAGGCTCTGCGTTGTTCCACATGCTGAACAGCTAATGGGGCAAAGAGATTCTGATAATGACCCCCTCTCCGGCAAAACATGGCCCGCAACATAACCACTTTTCATGGGAATGCTTTGGGGCCCTGAAACATACAGCGTGCTGTTCCTCTAGCCACGTATTCACTTGTGGTGGGTGGCCCTGGACAGCTGAGATCTGTTGGCGCATACGTGTTAAAAGTGATTTAAAGATTTGAGCTGGTGATCCAGTGATTGCAGAGATTAGCGCCATGATTACAATCAATTTACATTTAAAGATGCAATATTGTAAGTGTGAACTGCAAGAGAACGTTAACGCTGACGCAAATAAGCTAACACTTTTCTTAATTGGCCAACCACTAGATTTTCACATGGTATGTCATCCGCAACACTTCTGAAGGAGTAGTAATTCTGAAACTTACTGAAACTTCTGTAATTGACTGTCTGCTGTCTACAGTTGGTGGATAAACTCAGATAGATAAATGCTAGGTTCTTACTCACTGAGACACATGAGCGACTGGAATGAGCACAATCTCTCGCTCCGGCTCAGTCTCCATATCATCTGCAATGCTGCTGCTCCTCTGAAGCGTGGGCCGAGATGAGACCTCGAAAACCCCAGGCTTCGTGGCTACAGACACACAAAAACGCACACATCATTTCAGATTGAGAGAGTCCTGTCTTTCCTATGGGGTTTCTGTAACATTGAATCAGCATTATTTTGACTTCCCACCTGGAGGTGTGGAGAACTGGAACGAGGACAGAGAGTTCCAGGACGGCGCTCGTTCTGTGAGGAGAGAGATACAGATCACTGCTTTTGTATGGTGCATTTCTAATCAAACAGTGTGTGTTTTTTATGCACTGTATAACTGTATTGTAAAAAAATAAAGGGTTGTTGATGTGAAGTTGCATTTCCACTGAAACACGAGACACAAAATTGAATAGAATTTATCAACCCAGACTCATTCTGATTACGTACCCCTATATACAATTATGGAGATCGCGAAATACGTCCCAGGAGCTACGTTATTTTGCAGTTATTGTTTTCACAAATCCACCAGAGTCACCCCAACCCCCACCCCCCCTTTCCCAAACCCAACCAATAGTGCTTTAAAAAGCACCTATTAACCTGCCCACCGCATTCTCTAAACCCAAACGCAGTGTTTTAAAAAGCAATCCAAAAAAAGAAAAGCCCTTGCCTGATTTTTACCAAGTTTTCAGATTTTACCACACTCTCACCCTGTTATTTACTTGTTTATTTTGTTTTTTGGCTTCTGTTTTTGTCTTACCGGCTTTCTGGAACCGTTCTTTGCCGGACTTGAACCCTGTTGTCATGGTCAACTCCTCTCTGTTTCTCAAGTCTGCTGTGGTACATGGCGGGCTACTGAACAAACTGGTAACAGTGGGCAAGCCATCCATACGGAGGTAAATGGTCAGCTGGTAAGCGAGAAAAGGTATTGCATCATACCGCCCTGTGTCATTCGTTTTAAAGGCGAAATGCAGCCATATGTACCTCTAGCTACATAATTTGCAATCTCCAGCAATGTAAATAGGGCTACGTTATCAGAATGAGCCTATGTTGGAATGATTAGTGTCACCATTTAAAATGAAGTTATAAAAACTGCTAAGCATTTTTGAGCCAAATCTCCAAACTGTCCTATAATGTGACTGTCTCATGCAATAAGTTTAACAAATTAAAGCTTTAATAAAAAATAAAAGCAAAGTAAAATTATTAATAAATACCCCAAGATTATTTTACAAGTGGCTGTTTTAGTAAATGGCAATAATTATTTTTTCATCCATATATTTCTAAAATCTTACAAACTTTTTTTTTATTGTTTAACACTTAAAACCCTGTCCTTTGGTATGACACTATTTGTCACGATCACCAGAGATCTAACTCTAACAGATTGCTGGAGAACATTCACTTTCTTTCTGACTACAATTCTGACACAATATGAACTACAACTCCCTTCAGGCACCACACTCACACACCAGTTCCAGTTCTCCATTGATTACACACACACAGTTGGAAGCTGCTCAAGACTGATTACACAGACTATATAAATTACTCACTGTGACAGTCTTGTTTGGTTACCCTGCAACATTACGAAGCATTCTTCTAGTCTAGTCTTTCCATTTCTGACCCTTGCCTTGTTTTTATTATTTACGTTGTCTGCCGCCTGCATTGACCATTTTCCTGTGACCTGACTACGCTTCTGAATTTGCCTGTATGTACTCGTTTACCCTTGTGTTTGATTATACCTGTACGACTTCTCTTTAATAAAGCTGCACGTGGATCATCAACTCCATTGTCAGTGTCGGTATGTTACATTATTAATTTTAAATCAGCATTTCCATGGAAAACTAATTAATTGAATGACCCCATTCAAGACAATGTGACTTAAGGGCCCTGTGAAGCCCATGACCTGCACCTGTTAAGGTTTGTCTCTGACATTTCACATAGTTTTCATGACGTTTTTGGAACCATAATAAGTTTAAGTTTTGTCCTTTGGTGTAACATTTTTTTTATTTTTAAAAAAGTCTGACAAGTCATGGAGAACGGAAATATTGCCCATAATTCCAAATAAAAAATACAGCACTGTATTGAGCTAAGCAACTTTCGTGTCATTTTTAGTTTATTATTGAGAGTAGTTTTTCTTAATTGTTTGTTATGTCAAACCATAGGGCATTTTTACGTTACAAATCAGGAAAAGTAAAAAGAAAAGAGAGTTATTTATGTAACCCCTTACATATTCCTAAATAACAGACTTCAAACTGCATAAATGACAAATTTTTCTTCAAAAATGTTTTAACTATTTGACAACGACCCATATTCAGATATAAAAGATGAATGAATTATAAATAGAGTCATTTGGAATGAAAGATAGCGAGTGAGTTAAGACAAAGACGGTTTTAGTAACAGAGTCTAACTGGAGCTCACCATATCTTCTGGTTGTGTTTGTCCCATCTGAGATGACTGAGAGAGGAAATGAAGGATAGCAAAGCACTTCAAGAGCATGAAAGGTGAAAAAACAGAAATAGCAGAAGAAAAGATTGACAGTGTTCTAGTTGGTTGTTGGAAATACCTGACTGTTGAAGACTGGTCAGTGTCTCTTGCCTGCTGTCCCTCCCATCATCAAAGGAGTCATAGGTTATGGAAGGTACTGCAGGAGAATTCTGCCCGTTATTCCGGTCACTAATCTTCATTTTCCTCCTCATCTTCACCTTTATTTAGAACAAGCAAACAACATAAATAAATACAATTTTAATTTATGTACAGTTGAAGTCGAAGGCAAAATCCTCCTGTGAAATTTAAATTCTTTTTTCAAATATTTTCGAAAAGCTGTTTAACATAGAGATTTTTTCCAACACATTTTTAAACAATAGTTAATAAATAATTTTTAATAACTTAGTTATTTTCTCTTTAATGAAGTCATTGAACAACAGTGGTTTGTTCTGTAGCTTATTAAAAAGAAACCATTTCATAAGATGGCTAATAAAATTGGCCTTTTATATTTGTAAAAAACAACAAATCTGTCCACACTAGCCCTGAGTTTTCAAGAATCAGTGTACGAGGTTACATAAATAAATTTATTAATTTATATTTGAACTTAGCCAAAACACGATACTTGAGAACAAGGAATAGATTCAAAAGACCATTAGATAGAGAAAGATGAATTAAATATCATTCATTCATTCATTCATTTTCTTGTCGGCTTAGTCCCTTTATTAATCCGGGGTCGCCACAGCGGAATGAGCCACCAACGTATCCAGCAAGTTTTTTTTTTTCTACGCAGCGTTTAACAATTATAGTCAAATGAGATCCAGCAGTATATGCTTGATGAACAATCCGTTGTGCACTACACTCACCTGGGGAGGTGTGCTTAAAGCACCCAGTGACTGCCTGGAGCTTAGACGTGCTCATACGCTGCAGTGCATGTCAGAGTGTGTGTGTGTGGTCATTTAATGTGTGTTTTCTGCAGTATAGTGTGGATGGAGATCTTTTCAGAAACACTAGGTGAAACGCCAGTGTGGACGTGGATCATTTTCATTCAAAAACACAGCTTTAAAACTAAAACGTATTCATGTAAACTGGACCTAAAACTTGTTTTGTTTGGATCTTGTCCAGTTGTTACATCTTTTAGAGATGTAATTTCTTTTGTTCGTTAAGATTTTTACATCAACTGAGTTGTTTGTGGTTTATGGTTAAAAAAAAATTTAAACACTGAGAAAATCTTTTTTTAAAGTTGTTTATATGAAGTGCTTAGCAATGCACTTTAACTGTTAATTTTTTTAAAATATATTTACAGTAGTAAATTATGATATATTTTTATGGAAGATGATACTTTATACTTTACTTCAAATTCTAATATTTTTGGCATAAAATAAAAAATAATTCTGAGTTCAGTTCCCAAATAACGACATAACTTGTGGCTGAACTATCATAGTACGATGCACCATTTGGGAAAGAACAATGTAATTGGCCTTTTATATTAAAAAACAAAATTGTAAAAACAACAAATAGCTTTTATTACAGCCAATCTAGAAATAAGACATTCATCAGAAGAAATAATATTATAGGAAATAATGTAAAAATTTTCTTTACTGCATTAAACATTTGGATATATTAAAACTTTTGGAAAAAAGAATTAAAATTTCACTGGAGAACTTATCATTTTGCCTTTAACTGTATATGTAGTGTACATATATGTGTGAAAACAGTTTGTTCTTGTAGATTTATGCAGGCATCTCAGAATAGTTTGGTAGCCTACCTTTAATTTAGGGCTAGACCCTGAACTGCTGAGATTTCGTTTCACAAATAACTTGTATGTGGCAGAATCAGGGTTCAGCAAGGCGAAACACCTCCAGGACGCCTTCAGCATGAGAACAGAAGAAACAAGGTCTGACCTTCCTCATAAATGACAAATAATAATCAATTTAACATCTATAAACCACAAGGAGGGACACCTGTATGAGACTCGCAGCTGCAGGAATTTGCCTGTTGAAATGTTTTTGTCTCTGTTTCTGCTGTACCTTCAGAGCAAAACCGGAGCCCAGGATTCCCTGTGGGGAAATACTATCATTCTTCCCATACACTGGCCTGCTGTGCGAGGAACAATTGTTCTGGCTATTAAATCTCTGTTACTTACTGCAGGGAGGGCAAAAAAGGAGATAGCGAAGACAGAGAAACATGATGCAATAGTCTTTCCTATCCAAGTCTGAGGAACCTTGTCTCCGTAGCCAATAGTGGTTACTGTTACCTGCAGAAAAGACATTGACACACAACACCCTTTACTCAACATGATCCAATTCATGGCTGTATGCCTTCAATTATCCACCTCAAAGGCATTGTGTCTATGAAAGGTGTAGGTGGAGATGGACGTACCACACCCCACCACAGAGCATCGGCGTAGCTGCCAAACCCAGAGTTGCCGTGGTCATCCACCGCATCCTTCTCTGCCAGATACACAAAGTAGGAGGAGAAGATGAGCCCCAGGAATCCGATATAGAGAGTTGTGATCAGTTCCTGGAAAGAGGAAACATTCACTAAAAGTTTTCTTGCAGAAAAGTCTTAAAAAGCAAGATTCTTTAACTTTTGATGCATAAAAATATGAATAGAATAGCTCTAAATAGCTCTGAATTGCAACACAAACAAACATGGTGGTCATCTATCAACTAATGTTTTGCATATGGTGAATAAAAAGGAAATATAACAAATACGTATACATTAATCAAGCAAGACAAGCTCAATGAAAATAAAAAATATTAGGTGATATATATTTTTAAAATGGCGACGCAGTGGTGCAGTAGGTAGTGCCTAGGCACATATGGCGTTTCTGTGTGGAGTTTGCATGTTCTCCCTGCGTTTGCGTGGGTTTCCTCCGGGTGCTCCGGTTTCCCCCACAGTCCAAAGACATGCAGTACAGGTGAATTGGGTAAGCTAAATTAACTGTAGTGTGTGTGTGTGTGTGTGTGTGTGTGTGTGTGTGTGTGTGTGTGTGGATGTTTCTCAGAGATGGGTTGCGGCTAGAGGGGTATGCTCTGCGTAAAGACATGCTGGATAAGTTGGCGGTTCGTTCTATTGTGGCGAACCCGGATTAATAAAGGGACTAAGCCGACAAGAAAATGAATGAATAAATATTTTTAAAATACAGAAGTATAAATAGTGCAAGTAGAGTGTTTTTACTGAAAGTCCGAAAAGAAACGATGCACTTCAAAAATATTTAGATGATGCATTAAAATCTGTAAATATGTGGTTCAATGGTGCTTTTGGACTCTAATAGTAAGTTCATACTCTGGACAGTTAAGAGCATAGTGTAATACTAATGTACAGTTAGGTCCAAAAATATTGGGACATCAGCACAATTCAAACATTTGTGGCTCTATACACGAACACAATGGATTTAAAATGGAACGAACAAGAAGTGCTTTAACTGCAAACTGTCAGCTTTAATTTGAGGGTATATAGGCTGCAATTGACTGCAAAAGATTTGCAACCAAGTATTAAAAAGTGAAACTTTGATTTATGATTATTATTCTCTCCCATTACTTTTGGTCCCTTAACAAGTGGGAAGCACATATGCAAACTGTTGTAATTCCTACACTGTTCACCCGATTTGGATGTATATACCCTCAAATTAAAGCTGATAGTCTGCAGTTAAAGCACATCTTGTTCATTTCAGTACAGATCAATTGTGTTGGTGTATTGAAATTGTGTTGATGTTCCAATATTTTTGGACCTGACAGTATATAGTGCATATTTTTGGGAGAATAGTGACTCAGTCAAGCTTCATCATGAAATGCTATCTTTGCCTATGGTCTAAAATATGGGATATTGCTTTTGCAGATACACTCTGAATTATTTAAAGTCTAGACATAAAAGAGAATAGGGCTTCACTGCTATATTTTTGCTTCATTTGAAATGGCTCATAAGAGTCATTTCTCAATAAACTTTAATACATGTGGTACATTTTTTTAGGCTGAGCCCACAAGGACAGCTCATTATTTACTGTTATGCAGTATTTGACATATGATTCAGACTGTATGCTTACTGAAATATCAACAATGGCACTTTATTTTACAGTCCTGTTTCTTCACAGTCATCACAAAAACTGGAAAATAACTAGTAACTAACTCTAAACCTAACCCCGAACCTAATCTTTACAGCTTCTAAGCCAAGTGCAATTCAAGTACATATATTGTAAAATAAAGGGCTTCCTTTTTTTGTTGTACTGCTAAAGATTCCACCAGGTTAAAAGTGTGTGCAGGAAACACTGAGACTAAATTTGGTACTTTAATAATTTAAATCCTTTACCACAACACAGTGACATCTCAATACTTTGTACAAATACAAACCTCCAAGAAGACACAAAAAAAATAGCAAGCACGTATGAAATATTTGACCCAGAATTTGGTAATAACTTGCCATTGAAAGAGTGTGAATTCTAACTGAAACCCTGCAGTGTAAACAGACCGCTGATCAGTGTAATTGGTCCTTTTCATAAACTGCAAACACACATTTCCATGAGAAAAGAATAAATCAATTCTCTATTGACATAAATGCTTAATTATGAAGAGTTTTCACACTGGAGCATAACGTGCGGCTTTCATCACTTCCTGATGATGCTGCAAATGCAACCTCGAAATGTTCTGTGGGGGAGATTAGTTCTCTGGGAACTAGGCTTGCATGAGGCCTAGTTCCTATTCTGTAACTAGCCTATTATCAGGGGCGGACTGGCCATCTGGCAGACTGGGCACTTTCCCGGTGGGCCGACGTACTTTTTGGGCCGGGCTGATCATCGTCTTATGATCTTATCGTCCCATAAAAGGCTTAGCAGCCTATTGTTTTTTTCTGCCTTATTAATTGACGCTGCTGTGATCTGTGACTCTCTGAAAGATGCTTTTTTTCCCCCCCGGACAGACAGACCGGGTCGGCCCATGTGACACTCTGCAGCCCATTGGCTCATTTCTGTATTGACATTGGGGATGGCCCAATCACAAACTCCTATTTTGGGCTCTGTATGAGCGTGCGTCGTCTGTGTTTATTTGTCAAAATAGTCGAGAGTCAGAGAGAAGAAATGCAAGGGAGGCGCAGAGAAATCGCGGGAAATACACCGGCGTTTCATTTTGCAGTTCTGAAAAGTTCTCCGGTCATTCTAGTCACGGCTAAAAACGCAAATCACGTGACCACACACTAATAATAAATAAATAAATATGCAGAGTGAAGATGACGCTCATATAAGTATGCAGCTACACGAGGCTGTTTAGTGTCTGTTAATCACAATATCAAAATGAAACAAATTTGACTTATATTATGTCTTCATTGTTTAGATAGTGAAACAGCAAGCAGGATGAGGTGAAAGAGGATAAAATGTAACACTGTTCCCTTTGAAGATTTACCCATGCATCAGCAGGCAGTTTTTGTTATGTTTATTATTGAATATAGGTTGAGTGAATAGTGTATTGAATAAGCTAAATTGGCCGTAGTGTATGAGTGTGTGTGAATGAGTGTGTATGGGTGATTTCCAATATTGGGTTGGGGCTGGAAATGCATCTGCTGCATAAAACATGCTGGAATAGTTGGCAGTTCATTCCACTGCGGCAACCCCCTGATAAATAAGGGACATATGCGAAGAAAAATGATTGAATAGTGTATTTTTTAGAACTCAACAAATATCTTCATGGACAGTATACAGAAATGAAATTGAGATTAAAGTTTGTATTTATTTATTTCATATATATGGCTTTTGTGTTTTATAAAATATGATTTGATTAAAATACTGGACGTGCATAGATAGATAGCATTTTGATTGAATGTAGTGGGCCACTGTGGCCCAAAATGCCAGGGCCGATTTTTTGCCCCAGTCCAGCCCTGCCTATTATTATTAAGAATGTAGTGCACTGTAATGAATTACAAATCCAAAACACATCGTCTTCACCTGTCGATGTATAAACACTACTGATCCAAGCAACCGCCATGTTCCACCTTGTCGATCCACATGCAGCATTCGCAGAATTTGAAGGAAGCGGACTCCTCTGTAAACAATATCAGCAAGACTTACAACAGTGCAAGAGAATCACTTTAATTTTTGCACATAGTATTAACAATAAACATAGTAAGCAATGGTTTAAATTCAGAAGAGTAGTTTTTTGCACTTTAATATATCCGATAGAATTGACATACATAAAAATAAAAAAAAAGAGTGATCTGGTCGCCAATGGATTACTATGTACAGTTGAAGTCAGAATTAATAGCCCCCCTTTTAATTTTTTTCTTTTTAAAATATGTTTAACAGAGCAAGGATATTTTCACAGTATGTCTGATAATATTTTATCTTCTAGAGAAAGTCTTATTTGTTTTATTTCAGCTAGAAAAAAAGCAGTTCTTAATTTGCAGATTTGTGTCATGGGCAAGGCATCTTTCTGCACAGTGACTCTAGCTTCGTTGCTAAATGGCTAACAAGGATTTTATTGAGATATTAACTCTGCTTTATGTGCTTTAGGAATGCTGAAAAACAGCATATATTTGTTCTGCGCTGTGCCTAAGTCCACTAGATCCTTTCAGAGGTGCACCCAGCTCTGTGAGTTCATCATCTCCTCCAGAAACTACACCTGGATGATGGAGTCTTTTAGCAGTGCTTTAGACTGAGCCAAGCCCAGTTTGATGAGCTGTTATCTGGTGTCAGAAACAGGATTTCCCCATAGGACACCAACAACAGGTACTACATCATAATCATGCCCCTATAAAAGCAAGCTCCTGATTGGTTAACGCAGCGCAACTGTCCCCTCAAATCAGATTTTCCAACTCAAGCAGTTCGCAAAAAACACGTCGTTCGTGCCACCTCAGTCATGCGAAACACGACGCAGGATGTCTATTCTTGTCTTTGGATTGACTTAACATGTAAATCAATCACACTTGCTGCTTTATCCACGTCTGGTGTGAACACAGCATCACAATTAAATACTTTAATTTCACACCACCTGTAAAATCAAAAACTCTATACTGAACTGATTTGGCAGACTAGACAGACAGTAGTTAAACTTGCGAAACGTAGATTTAAAGTTAAAAAAAAAGGTAAACAGAAAGGTCTAAAAGGGCACAACAGAGATTTAGTACCAGGTATAACTGAGAATGTGACTCCATCTATTTTTGATCAAAAAGATCAAAACCCATTTTATACCAGGTGTAAACAGGGCCTGATTAACACAGTACCACAATGTATAAAGAGACCACAGTGACTTATTTGTTATATTAACCTTACCTGACAGCAGAGGTAGCAAATACCTGGCCATTAGAGCCAAATGCCAATACTATAATAGAAGCCACCACCACAATCAGGTCTAGAACAAAAACAAAAGAAATGTAAACACGTCCATAGTAACAACACAATCTAGTTAGGCTTTGTAAACACATCCCAAAAAGTGAAAGTGATTTCATTGTAGACACTCACCAATAACAGAAATTGGCTTTCGGGCAAAGCGAAGCCTGCCCAGAATTCCCACATATTTACTCCGGCATCCAGCTGACCACAGACGGACCACGTACTCCACACCAAAGAACATTACCAGCACTAATTCCTGCAGAATGAAAGAGACAGACACATTGTGCTTACACAAAAGGGCACTAAAGGCATATATTAGTGATATTATGCGCTCGTGACAATGAGAAATTATTGTAAGTGAGACATAACGTGAGATTTATTTGAACAAAACAGTGTGAGGATAAAGAACTAATTGATTCGACTTTGACATCATGTAAAATGCTGTGTTATAATAGAGCGCTGTAAGTATAGAGAGGTCATTTATTTGAGCGATGAGACGTCTGCTTTGAGAATGGATTTAATAACACAGCTTTATTATGTGGGCAATGTGAAAGGCTGTCATTGTAGAGCTCGGCAGCTAGATATCTAGATATTTCTCATGAGGAATAGTATTGCCTTTTTGAAATATTTATGAGGTATACCCAGAACAAAATCCTCCAGTGTGCGCTGTGCACCTATTGCTGAAATCCCATGAACAGACACATAATGAACGCTCTGTTGACAAGATTTTGATTTTTGAATAAATGAACAGAAGAATAGCGTTGGTGCTCCACAAGGCTGTGTATTGTCATCGGTTCTGTTTTCCATTTACACGAATGCATTTCACAAAGTGAATCGGTTACATATTTTCAGTTTGTTGAAGATAATTTTGCATTAATCAAAAGGAGTAGTACTCGTAAAGGTACAGCTTGGAAAATAAGTATTGAACATGTCATGTTTTTTTCCATGAATAATATTTCTAAAGAAGCTGATGATATTGGATTGAACCAGATTTTGGTAAAAACCCAAACAATAAACACATATACATAAAAAAACAAAAAAAAAAATCTGAAAACTACAGTGTGTTACAACAATGGATTGACACACTGAATAAGTACTGAACAACCAAAACACAGTATCTGTTCAACAGAGTGTAAAAATCTTGGTTCTGTGGGTTTTGTCTATCAAATCTGATCCTTATATATTTTTTTCAATTAGATTCAAGTCAGGTGATTGGTTGGGCCATTCTACAGCTTGATTTTCTTTCTCTGAAAGCATTTGAGAGTTTCCTTGGCTGTGTTTTGGATCTTTGTCTTGCTGAAATGTCCACCCTGGTGTTATCTTCATCATCTTTAAATTGTAGATATTGGACTGAAGCAGCTGATAATAATTTACATTGACAAAGGGCAGAGGATTGTTAAATAACTAAAAAGAGATTTCAGTTGCTGTCTGGGCATTCAGTGCCTTTCTACACCTCACTTTCTTCATGTGTTCAATACTTTTTCGCTGTCATTTAATTTTATTATGCATAACTTCATTTGTAAACTAATTAGATTTTTTTCTTTTGCTTATATGGATTTCTTTGTTTTTTACCAACATCCAGGGAACATTTCAAGTCAACAGCACCTTTAGAAATATGTTTTCTGAGAAAAATGGTGATGTGTTCAATACTTATTTTCCCTGCTGTATATTAAATGCTCTTAAAACAAAGAAAATTCTGTTTTAGAGGAAGTAAAAATTATGTTACGCCCTTATTTTGAATAACAATGTCCCTAAAAATATGTCTTAAGCTTCTCCAAACCACAATATCTGCATCTTTAAAGTGGCAGGATAATCCCACGCTAAAAAAGCCTCAAAGATGGCATTTCATAAGGCAGCTCAAAACATTTGGAGTATCTACAACTGGTATGGTCAGGTTTTTGAGCAATGATTGAAAGTGTGCTGACTTTTTCAATAACCGTGTGGTTTAGCAGGTCAACAAAAAAGTCATGTCTATAATACAGTGCAAACTGACTCAAAAATTATAGGCCATGATCCGCCTTCTATGGATGAAATTTATGTCATGCATTTGCAGGAAAAAAGGCTTGACAATACTTAGAGATTCGACACATTCAGCTAGACATCTTTTCACATCTTTACCCTTAGGCAGACGATTTAGACTGCACACCTTTTGAACGGCACCTACTCTATATGGTTCATGATTTAAAAACACTTCTGGCTCTAATGTATCTGTATTTATTTTGTTTTAATTGAACTGAATTGAATTTAATTTATAATGTTTGTACAAATGTGTTTGTGTTTATAGCTCGCTGCAAAATTCCGGACAATTATGCTTTACACACCTTCACATGATTTACATACCTTTACATACCAAAATATTTTACAAATTGTAAAAATGTTACCTGCTTTTGACATTTCAGACCTTGTTTTTTCTTTCTAAATATTTACAATCGATATATATATATATATATATATATATATATATATATATATATATATATATATATATATATATATATATATAAATAAAAACTCTTATTAAATTCATACACTAGAAGATTCAGTGCATAGTGCAAAAGATATTGTATAATGTGTATAGCTAATAGTGTGTCTTTTGTGACAGAACTAGTGCTTCAGTCATCCTTTATTACGAAACGCTACTTTTGCAAATGTGTAAAATATAGGACATTTTTATGCTGATCTATTCAAAACCATTAATTTAAACACCTGGCTTAAAAAAGAATACAGTAACACTGATATGCTTTTGCATCACTAATCTCTTAATGAACTGGAATAAGTGTTTTAAATATACCAAATATTTTAGTCATGCATGGATTGTAGTTTGCATAGCATAAAGCAAACAACCTTAATATACATGGCATGCTTGTAACAGATGCGTATTTAGACCTCACAGTATCAGCACAGGGTTGTGTGAAAACATGGGACGGCTGGTTCATGGTCATGGCCAACAACAGCAGTTGCCCTCGTCTGCTTCTTAAAGAAGCGAAAACAAAGGAAGGCTGCGAGTCTGCTGAGCGCAGGCCCTTTGAGAGCTGCGAGAAACCAGACATGTATGAGTTATGAGGCTGGCCGTGAAGCCCACTGTCACATAAGCAGTCTGGAGAGCTGCATGTGGGTCTGAAGGAGCTTGGTCAGCTGCCTGGGGACGCTTTCTGGCACGGGGCCGGATGAGTTCGCTTGCCTAGCCCGCCTAAATCTTCTCTGAAAATTCAATGAAAATTACAGGCACAGCCCTAGCCTGTGGGAACAGGCAAAACATGAAGGGGTAAAACACATAGTGACAGAAAATTGAGTGGAACCAGCAGAGGAGAGACTGTGCGCAGCTTGACTGAAAGTAGGCCATCTCGCTGTTTACAAAGTCAAATGCAGTTTATGTGTAGGAATATTTCAGAAAAGCACAAAAACCTGCTACTAGACTCATCACTATTTCTTATGCTGTAAATAAATATGACAATACAAATAGTTTCCAATAAGACCCTGTAATGTGCAAACATGGACCAACCCATAGATTTCCATCATAAAAATGAAAATGTATTCTACAGCCTTTTAATTGCAGAGTGAATTTAATTAAGTATATTGTAAGTATCTGTGGATTAAGTTTATAATTTTATATTGTTGATGTACATGTGTTACAACAACAATAAAATTACAATTAAAGGGTTATATAATATAATATAATATAATATAATATAATATAATATAATATAATATAATACAATCACAAGGTTATTTCCAAATGTAAGTGATCCAATATATATGTCATACACTGTAAACCCCCCTACCCCCCATTTGCCGTTTCTGTGTGGAGTTTGCATGTTCTCTCTGCGTTCGTGTGGGTTTCCTCCGGGTACTCCGGTTTCCCCCACAGTCTAAAGACATGCGGTACAGGTAAATTTGGTTGGCTAAATTGTTCGTAGTGTATGAGTGTGTGTGTCTGTGTATGTGTGGATGTTTCCCAGAGATGGGTTGCGGCTGGAAGGGCATCCGCTGCGTAAAAACTTGCTGGATAAGTTGGAGGTTTATTCCACTGTGGCGACCCCAGATTAATAAAGGGACTAAGCCGACAAGAAAATTAATGAATAAAAACCCAAAAAGTTTAAGTAACTCAAACCGTTTGAGTGAAACTGATTGCAACAAACCATTTAGGTTTATAAACTAATCCTAATGAGTACTGTTAACTTAATCCATTTGAGTAAATGAAGCAATTTGAGCACAGTAAAACCCAACAAATGAAGAGAACTCAAACCAACTAAGTACTGTAAAACTCAATAAGTTAAGACAACTTAAACCGTTTGAGGAAAATGATTGCAACAAACCATCTGAGTTAAAAAACTAATCTATGATGAGTACTGTGAACTTACTCCATTTAACTTGAAGTAATGAGGTATTTAATTAAAAGTTCAAAACTCTTTTCAAATGAGTATAATTACCATTCAGCAAGTTTTGAGTTAACTACAGTCATTTCATTTGATAAAGTTGACTGTTGGGTTTTACAGTGTACATAACTGACACTAACTACGCTTTTAAAATTTAAATTTATTTATTTGTCTTTTTTTGTGTGTGTAATTGTAATTTTATTTTGTTTATCCGAGAAGGGTTAGGGATCATATTTGTTTGAATTTTTCTGTAAAACCATCCTGCCATTTCTGTAAAATTTTAATAAACTGATGAAATATCTTCATAGCTCATAAAGTCAATACATTTTTCATGAACTAAAGGACTAAACTAAAGGACCCTAATCCAATCAGAATATGTAATACTAAAAGTGAATCATACAGATGTCACCAAAAGTATTAAAGGGATATTTCACTCAGAAATGACAATTCTGTCATCATTTTCTCACCCTTGACTTGTCACAAACCGGTTTGAGCTTCTTTCTTCTTTGGAACGCATAAGAAGATCAACTGAAGACTCAAGTTTTTAATCTCTGTCTTATTATTTGAGGATATGAACACTTGAACTTCGTCAGAGCTGATCTGAGGCTCACTTCATCAGCAAACATCTCTGTGACAACCCATCAGAACAAAAGTTTAGTTTAACTTGATGAACTGTGGCTTATTAATATCTGTTAAAATGTAGTTCTCAAAGTAACACCAAACTATATAAATAAAAACTTTTGGAAGCACTTTAGTTTAAGTAACAGTTCACACCATTTACTACAGGCTTATCCCCTGACTATTATTAAGTTATTAACTGTTTATTAGCACTTATAAAGTATGATTTTATTTACCTTTCTAATCCTACCCAATACCTAAA